ATCACTGGTGGTGACTTGGAAGGAGAGAGATTGGCCATTGAGGTAGGAATTGCTCTGCCAGTTCTGGCCCCAATTTCTGGACATAGACTGCCATCCTGTTCTTGATCCCTTGATCGAGACGGCGTGCACGTCGCCGGCGCCCGCGACGTTGGTGATGAGAACAAGGTTGAAGTAGGAGTGGCCATTAATGGTGAACCTTATCCCTCCCTTTCTCCTGCATGGAACTCTGAATTGCACAAAAAACAGAGTCAAAAGGCTTCCTTATAATATGTCATGCAATGTATATATATTAATTTGATCAAGTCTCACATTGACCTCACTTTTTTACTCTTAAATTCTTATATAGAAGTTTTGCATCCTCTAAAATTCAGAAAAACTCTTTGGTCTTCTCTTATTTGAAAAATTCACCGCTGATGTTATTGAGAGTGTTGAAAAAGAGAGTTACCTTCTGTAAGAAACAGGAACAATTCCAGCCCTATAGAGAGCAATGCGCTGAAAAACAGGTTGAGAGAGATCAAAATGCTGTTGGGGAGGATTACACCACCCTCCTGCATTGTTTGGAAGAGCATTATTTGGTGGGCAGAAATTGGTTGCAGTGACCACAATGGAACCAGGAAGGCACCATTGCCTGTCATTAACCACCAGACGTGGTGCGTTCGGATTCGCTTCTGGAGGCGTTTGGACGCTGCACAGAATAATCTCTCCACTAACACACCTTCCTCTACATGCATAGAGCGAGAGAAGAGAAACATACCCATAGTGCCAGAAGCATCACTTCCTCCATAGAAGGTCGCATGAGCATTGGTCCAACCTCCTCCCTGCCCATAACAAATGGCAGTAGAGAAGAGAAGGAGAAAGCTTACCATTAATAGCATATTAAAGGCCATATCCCTGTTTCTATTTTCTTCTTGAGTGGAGCAGGTTTTGTTTGATTGGAAAAAGAACAGCAAAAAGAAAGAATTGTTTGTGGTGGGAACAAGGAGTGAATGGAAAAGAGGAAGTTGGGAAATGAGGGATAATAAGGGAATGTTTGTGAGGAGAAGAGGGGAGGGGATAGGTGGATATAAATAGTCTTGGAAGGTGGAACCACAGTTCAGATTGTCCTGCTTTTATGACAGACTGGTGCAAAGTTCTGTTTAAGGTTAAGGCAGGGGTAAAGAACCATAAAGCTTGTAAAGTTGAATCTATAAATTACTTCAGAAGATTTTGTATTTTTTTTTGGGACATTTAGGACAATTAAGGCAGACACACACATCTCATATGCAAGACTCAAACCCAATATCTCATAGTTGGTAGCCTAAGCTGTTAACCAACAGACTAAGATCCCATAAGATTTTGCATTTTGATAAGATGAATTTAACTCCCTCCATTTTTTTATAATAAGTGTTTGAAAGCGATTCAAGTAAAATTTAATTTTGCAATTAAATCCAACTATTTATTTATTTGATAGAAAATGAATGAAAGTAAACTCTTGCTCTTAGAAATTCACATTCATCAAAATATCAAGGTGAAAAGTGAGTTCTTATTTGGAGCGCTTGAATCAGCATTCCGTTTGTTTAGTTTATAGTTTGTTTTTGCTATCTGAACATTCTAAAATTTAAATTTTCAACCAAAAAAACAGAATATTTTTTGTTGATTGTTTTTCCCATTACAAAACAGTAAAGAAAACATATTACAAACACAACCTTACCTTAGTTTTTTTTTCTTTTACTGTAAGAATAATTAGAAAATAACACGGTCGAGAGAGTCGGTGGAAATTTCACTTGTACTCACTTTATTAACAGTAGAATAATATAAATGAATGTGAAATTGCATAGAAACAAAGCTCATTACTTCAAAATAATCAAATGTCACTGAAGATTACAATAGTAAAGTTTGCTTCAAAATCTAAAATCTAACCACCATCAAAGTATTATGTCGAAACAAAATGACGTCTCATTTTTATTAGGCTCCTTATTGCAAAATATGTTGAGAAACCGTTGAAATCTAAATCATAGCAATCATAAAATTTGGGGGACGCAGCTCTTCTTGATCTATTTGTTTGGAGTTTTGATTACTTATCAATAGGTCTTAACTTCGAAGTTTGCGTATGCGATGAGTGTGTGAATTTGCATTAGAAATTTCAATGTCCCAAAAAAATAATAATAAATCTGGGTGATCATTGGACGGGAATAAGGTAAAAAAAGAGTTTAGAGCATCTCCAACTGAACGTCAAACATGCGTATGGCGTCATGACGCTCTAGCCGAACGCCAAATCTTCCGCTATTTACTTGCGGCGGCGTTGCACTATTCACCCACTATATGTTTTTTTTTTTATTCAAAAAATTGGTTATTAATTTTAAAATTTTAAGCATGAGAAATAATATACTTGGAATATTCTCTTTTTGGTGTTAAAAAATGAAGTTCAGTTGAAGATAAGTTACTGCATATTGGTGTATTATTGTATTTTGGAGTGAAAAATGAGTTTTTCGGTTGGAGATGCCAACTCTAAAAGAACAGCAATATTAATGAAAGACAGGAAGCCAACAGATGATAACCTCACCTGCTTCAATACAGTGTACCAATTTAACGGTTTCTAGCTTTATTTCCAGCTCTCATTTATGACTAACGTCTCTCTAGCCAAGCATAAAGCCGTTTTAGTGCACCGTTAACTTTAAAAAGATTAAAATTAGAATTTGCAGTAATTCTTAGCTAAAAAAACACATAAATAGTTCAGCATTACCTCATCAAAGCCCGTCAATGTTCAGATATAAATCCCTCCAATAACTCATAGGAGTAAGGTTATCAGATCAAGGGAAAAAACAAACAAACAAACAAACAAACGCATGTGCAGGTTATTAATTTCGAGGAACTTGAATTTGACTTTTCTTTCTTGAAATGTTATAAAGTTTTCTCCATATTATAAAATACTAAGTAATTATTGATCAATTTTCTAAGCCTCTATCACTTTCTATTGCTCTGTTTCTTCACGTGGTTGAAGCTATTTAGTTTAGCCTTTCTTTCTTATGGGACAAGGCAAATCACACCATTTAATTCACCGACTCTCACAATGCTTTTTCTTTAGTTGATAATTTAAAGCTTTGAATTGGAAAGGTGAGATCTTTTGGATTGTTTTTAATGTATTAAAACGAACTTTTTTACTATTAACTGCATATTTTTACAGTCAGAAATACCTATGGGTTCTGATAGTAAAGGTATGCCTTTTGCAAACCAGAAAAATAAGCCATAGCTAATACTTTGAAATTTTTTGATGATTGCAGTTTGATTTGAACAATTAGCTCTTTTCAGCGCCGTGTTTCAAGATAGTTGGTGGAATGTGATGATGACTAAATTGAATTTATTATAATCTCTCTACAAGATATTGTATGGGTAGTTAGCTCTCCACATTGACAATCTTTTTCTTCTCAAACAAATAATTTTCAACACTATCAAGTGTAATCTCCAAAGATTGCACTCAATTATACGGAGCTGGAGTTTGAGATATGGGATTTAGCCTTTAACAACTATCATAGAAAGATTAAAGACTAATGGGAGCTATGAACAATACAGATTCTGATCATGATTGAAACATTGATTTTAAAACTGCTAAATTATATAGCATATTTTTTTCCCTACAAAGTAAAATATTTTATGCATACTTAGGTTTCGTTTGGAGCGGCTTTCTTACTGCTTCTTAAAATGATTTTCTAGTACAAGAATTAAAATTTTTGTACTAGAAAGCCGCTTTAAGAAGCAGTAAGAAAGCCGTCCCAAAGGAAGCCTTAGTCTTAGGTCATCATATTCATGTTGTGTCAAATATTTGCTGGTTATTTTATAAAATAAATTATTGGCATTTTATTATTTTTCCAGGTTAACTATATTTTCTTCTATTTAAATGAGGTCATAACCATTAATTAGGAGAAGCTATGTAAAATTGTGTTTTCTTATGTTGATAATCTTTTGTAGTTTCTATTTTTGGCTCTGAGTGTTTGAGTAAAGTTTTACTTATTTTCCAACAAATACAATTATAAGGGAGTGGTAGGCTTCCTTTGGGACATTTTTTTTGCTGCTTCTTAAAACAACTTTCTATTACAAAAATTAAAATTTGTACTAGAAAGCTGCTTTAAGAAGCAACAAAAATGCCGTCCCAAATGAAATGATTAAAAACTTAAAAGAGAGGTTTGACTGCCAAATGTTAAAATCAAAATATTTTCAACTATTAACGATGAACTAAACCAATGATTTCATGCAGCTTGACACGTGAGTCAAATACTTAGTTACATTTCTTATCAAATATGTAATCTTTATTGCTCGTCCTTTTTCAACTTAACAGGAAGAACACAGATATTCTCACCTAATATAAAACCGACAAGTATGACAATCAGCCCAGGAATTCCGGTACTACTTTGTGACAATGGCAGTATTTTCCAGCTCTAGCATGTGGCTCTGTATAGACTATAACATGGGCATGAGCTTTTCAAATTGTTGCAATCAGTCAAACAATTGTGTTCTCTTAAAAAATTTCACAGTATAAATTTGCAAAAAAGTTTAATATAGCTATGTATAATGTGTTACTTTTACAATTAAATTCTCATGCAATAATATATCTTACAGAAATTTTGCCTCATTTAGAATTTGAGGTGAATTTCTTGGCTCCACATTTGAAATCTTAGATGCGCCACTGATCCTCTGTAATTTTAAATGGAAGAAGATAAATTTGAGTGGAAGGCAATTTTTTTTCTTTGATGCTGTATCGCAAGTTTAATTGTTTGAAATACAATGATTTCATGCAATATTCTACTGATATTTTTTGTTGTGCTTCACTTTTAGGGGCTGTTTGATATCAGATTTACAGCGGGATTTAGGCTGGATTTATGCTAAATCCAACCAAACGGTATTTTACGTGACTGTAAATCCGGCGACCATGACGTAAATCCTGGATCTACGGATTTACGCCGCAAATCGGCGTAAATCCGGGTAAATCCTAATCCAATTCCTCCGCGGATTTAATGGTATTTACGGTTGAGCTGCATATCACCTACGGCGCCCGTGTCGTGATGTTCCCGCGATAGTCTTTATCGAACAATCTGTTGCCAAATAGTTTCTCAGGATTTAACAGCATTTAACATTTATCATAACAAATAGTTTTCAGAATTTAACAGTCTCAGGATTTACTAAATCCGGATTTACAGGATTTACTAAATCCTACTAAATTAAATCCAATCAAATACCAAACAGCCCCTTAGCTCTACCTTCCCATAATTTTAGCAGCATAACAGATTGCAACTTGGAAGGAAGCCATTGGAATAGAGAAACAGTGATTGTGATGGGTGAAAAAGGCATCGTGCAAAGGCGGAGCTCCGCCACGGCGCCTTAGCAATGTATAGCTGTGATGAAGGCTGACAAGTCAATTAAATGCATTCAATAGATTCAAAAGTTTGCTAAAATAAATTACCTATTTCAACGTCAAATGGGATGACAGATTCTTCTTCATATCTTCCCCACCATGTGCTAATGATCTATAACCAAGTATTTTATCTCGTTACAAAACTTGACACCCACAATTTTGGAGCTGTGGAAAATTCTTGGACTGTTCATCTCAACAACAAAGAAAAGGCCATCAATTCGAATTCTTAACTCCTAGTGTTCTAAAAGAGCTCAGTGTTTTGATGCATAAAAGAGTAGAAGTCTTGCGTCCTAGAGTCTTTGCGGGGGTAGAGAAATATAAAGTCTGGCGTCTTAGCTTTTGTACAAAGATCCAACACGCAATCAGATAAAAAGAGAGATCGTGCAGTATTCACAAGAGACACCAATATTTTTACGTGGAAAGCTCCAAAAAAGGGGGAAAAATCATGGGGTCTAGCCCAGTTTGAATGAATCCACTAGTATTTGCAGTTGATTACAAGTGAGACCCTTCCTTAGGAGGAAGACCTTGGCTTGACATACATTTTATGGAGTACATTACATGGTGGGAATACAAAGAATCAATGTTGACATATTCGTTTGGTCTGAAGGATCATAGTCGGTGGGCGACGGAGGTCGGAAGGACCGTAGTCGGCTGGCGACGGAGGTCAGAGCGATAGAGGTCAGAAGGACCATTGTTTGACGATGGAAGTTGAAAGGACTGTAGTCGGTGGACGACAATGGTCAGAAAGACCGTTGTTAGAGGGCGAAGGAGATTCAGAATTGATTGGAGGTCACGCAAAAGTGTCCGGCATTAGTTGGTGGTCGGGTAGAAGTCCGACATCTAGTAGAAATCTGAAGAAAGTCTGGCATAGGGCAAAAGTCCAGTATCAGGTAGCAATTCGGCGACGGGTAGAGGTCCAACGTTGGGTAGAAATCTAGCGAAAAGGGGAGGTTCGACGTCGGGTAAAAGTCCGACGTCAGGTAGAAGTCTGACGAATGTCCGACGACTGGTAGAAATCTGGCGACAAGCAGAGGCCCGACGTCGGGTTGAAGTTCATCAAAAATTCGGCGACGGACATAAGTCCGGTGGCGGGCATAAGTCCTACGTTAAGTAGAAATTCGACGAAAATCCGGCGACAGGCGGAAGTCAGGCGTCGGGTAGACTGCCGGGTGGAAGTCCGGTAGTGGTCGAGGAAGAGTTTGGTGACAAGAGAGCTCACTTTCTTCTCTTCCTTTTCTTCCTTCTCTTCTTGCTTCCTTGCTTAATTCCAGCGTCGGTCGGCTGCCGGGTGAAAGTCCGACGGTGGTCGAGGAGGAGTCTTACTTCTCTTTTCTTCTTGCTTAGGCCTCCCCCCCCTAGGCCTTCCCCCCACCCCCCCCATTTATAGTTTTCTGAGAGTTTCATGGCCTGTAAATAGGAGGAATATCAGGGGTATTTTGGGAGTGGTTTGAATGGACGGCCGATATTGATTCCCTTGATCATAGAACGTTCATTGGACATTTGAATGTCTTAAAGATATTATAATTCAGCGATCTTGGGCTCGTTGGATTCCTCTCGTTGAGCCGTTCGATTCGATTATAAGCATATCACGTTTGGAAACCATTTGGTAATCCAAATTATGGTTTGAACCTTCCGAATGTGCTTCGGGTCTTTGATTTGGACTCATTTGTGCTCGGATTGAGTCGAATTTGGTGTCGTTGGGCTTGTATTTCCGAGACGTTTAGTTCGGCTGTAAGTTTGCTAAAATCGGAGTTCATATGCTCTCCAATTTAATTTTTGAAGTTTCCAACTAGATTTTTGCTCGAGATTTGTACCCGATCAAGATAATTTTTTGATGATATATCAAGAAGGCGGACCATAATTTAGAAGGCATTCAGTTAACTTACTTGGAAGTTATCCTCTCGTTTGCATCAATGAAAAAGAAAAGGCAACAATCATTGAGAGCAAATTGAAAAATAAAAATAAAAAAATCTCTGTTTATAAGATGATGCTAAAGCTTCACAAAATAAACTCATTGGCTTTATAAAGTTTCTGTACATAAGGCCGGTGATTCATCTAAGATTGTATAATTTATGCAATCTTAGACTGTTGAATTTGGTGCTTTCAATCATGATTCAACAAGCTTAAGAAATTAGTGATTCCTAAGGCAGATTTATATGCTTGACTAAGCTCTTAGGACGTGTTTGCTTTACTATAAACATTTAGAATTATTTTTATCCCAGTTTCAGCAGCTAGTTATATTAAAATGAATAGGTAAGATATATGCTTATTTTTGTAAGAAATTCAACATTCATGAACTCACAATTTTTTTTTTTTTTGGAGATTGTTACAGCGTTTTGTAAATATAGTTGTAAAGTTATTGGGGAAAAAAAACTTTTTAAAAAGTTGTTGTGGATATTATAAATATGTTCGTTAAAGCTATTACATATTGACGATTCTGGTTGTAAAAAGTAATTTCATATCCTTGAAATTATGATAAGTAATAAGAAAAAAAACAAAAAATTCAGTAGCTAAACGAAACTGTAAGCTGTCCCAAACAAATCTTAAGGGTAGTTGTCATTAGATTCACACATTAATTTTTTATTACTTTATTATTAGTACTACAAGTGAACATACTATTCTAACAATTTTCCTTTTAATTTTACATTATTCCATTATTATTAAAATATATATAAAAAGCAAAACTAAAAGTAACTTTTTAGCACTCAAATTTAAAAATCACTTTTCAACTTTTGAACTTAATTAAAAAAAAGGGAAAAATATTTCATCGAATTCCAATCAAACAAATATTTGAAGTTAATTCTAAAAGTTAGATCTACTCATTTCAAAACACTTATAATGAAATAAATTAACTCAAAGTTCATGATAAATAATGATGTTTAAAAAAATTTATTTAAAATAGACACTATAGGAAAATCGTCAATTACCGGAGATTTTTTTAGGCCGAAATAGGTGATTTTCATTGTTCCGGTAGTTTTATGAAGGGTTTTTTTCACTGGTATTAGCCGCGTAAGAAACTGAAATCTGAGGTTTTAAATTGTCTTTTTGCTAGCGATCGGAAAGGTGACTGGTGCAGATCAATAACCGCTGGCATTTTTGACGGTTTAGCAACCGTCAATAGCCAAACCGCAAGTAATTTCCGGCGATTAACCGCCGAAAAACCGCCGCTAATAACCGACGGTTTATCTTGTGTTTCGGCGGTTATTACCGGCGGCTAATCCGCCAGTCTAATCGCTAGAAATTCAAGCGGTCCTTTGGCCGTCGGAAATGCCACCGATATTTGATGAACTTCATGTAGTGAGAGTTATATTGTATGAGGAATAGATTTATTAATGTATGAGAGAGTGTTTAAATTACCCTAATACAGATAAACGAAAATTTTGTTATTATTAAAAAACATTAATTTATCCTAATCTATGAACTTAAATTTATTATTTTAAAACAAATCTAATTTGTGAAATCAATAAAATATTCAAAGGATAGTACTGTGATATCTATGCCATGTGATCTCTTGCTATTAATTGATGTGAAACCTAGCAGGGATAGATGACCAAAATAATCCAAATTAACAAGCAAACAATGAAAGCTGATTAAGTAAAGAACACTTGCCATGTGCAAGTAAGGCTATGCAACTATATGGAATAGCTATCTGTTTGTCCATTTCTAAGGTGGCAATGATATTACTTTTGATTTGAATGTTCATATAAGAAGATGTACATCCATATTTGTATCAAGAGAGAACAGAGGAGCCTAATTTCTTACAATCTGTTCATTCAAGGGGTTATTTGGGTTGGTCAAAATTTGATGCAACATGAAGGTCTTATTTGTAAAAAATTTTATTTTATACTTTGAAGGAATGAATGAAGACGGTTAATGATCCATAAAATTGACATGAAGTTATTATTAGAAGGCCCATTATGATAAGGTAATGATGATGATGATAAGTCATCATAATAATTTATTTTAGAATTTTATATAAAATCTAATTCAAAGCAAATGCATCCCATTTGGATGCATTTACTTTATTTGGTTTTATTTAAAAATGCATTCCCTTACATTGAATCAAATCAGCCTCATTTATTTTGTAGGAATTCAATTCGAATTGCATTTTATTTGCAGGGAACTGAAAAATCTGTAATTGATTCGAGATAATTCCAATATTTCTTCCTGTAAGATTTTTTTCAGCTGCATATTTCACTTTCATGTACGGCATTACTCCCATATTTACAAATTTTTGTGACCATTTCTAATCTAAAAATTAACTAAGGGTGTGTTTGAGGCTTTTTTTAGGACAATTTTTTTATTGCTTTCTAAAACAACTTTTTAGTACAAAAATTTCTTGAGCTAGAAATTTTTGTACTAGAAATCTATTTTAGAAAGCAAAAAGAAAGCTTTCGCAAATGAAGCCTTAGACAGCTTTTTGGATTCTTTTTTTTTCTAGACAACCACCACAATTTCGTTTGGCTACTTTCTTGTTGTTTTCTCATTATTTTTCAGAAATTTTTGTGATCAAAGTAGCGAAGTTATTTTCTACATAACAACTTCACAACCAACTTTACAAAATGATGCATTCATCCCAAACAAATCCTAAAAAGACAATTGAAACAGGATAGCTAGGATGAGAACACATATGCCAGAAAATCAAATAATAAAGGAAACAGTTTAAATACTAAAGTTGGTTCAAATGCACACGTCCATGACAACTTCAGCTTTTAATGCATGCCTTCAAAAGAAAGAACACTAGTGTTGCCTCCAGCTGCACCATAAGATAGACACAGTGCCTTGACAATGAAGGCGAGATGTGCCTGAGTCTCTCTTTTCATAGCACCGTTTATCTATATTTGGTTTTGAAAAATCAACCATATTGATCAATTAGATAGCTCGTGACTTGATCTCATGAATGCCTCTGTTATCTTGCTCCTGTCATGCTCCTTGGGACTGTAACAATCCGATTTCTGATGGCTTAGTTGATACTCTGTGTGATCTCGAGTCCTTTTCATATTTTCTTTTAAATCCAACTCTCATTTCTTGTAAAGTTTTTCCTTTTCAGCTGGCCCTTTCATATCATTTAAATTTATGTAATTTAATTTGAGATAAGCTATCAATTCTTAAGAAAATGTGTCCATTTAGTTACAGTAGAGATTCAATTCATGTGGCACTCATGTGGCATATACGATTGGTTTCTTCAAATAGCTGATCAAATCATAGCTGTCTTGAAGTGCATGTTTGTACAACTTGGTTTGTTGATAGATCTTTCCAAGAAAGCTAAAGCTTACTTTTGATAATATCGTTTTGTGCATCAATTTGCATCATTTTATTCAACACAAATGTACGATGGCATCTTTAGTGCGCTTTCCTTCATATACTTTTTTGAGAGGGTAAAAGCATAGGATGAATGAACCCAAAAATCAGTTAATGTTAGTCCTAAAAATGGCATAGACAACCAAAAATATTAAGAGGGTCAGAATCCACAAAATTTGGGAAAGTGAAGAGATCTTTGATGTGGCTATATCAAGAAAGGAGAGGCAAACTTCAACTAGACTACAAGGAACCATTTTGCAAGTAAAGATAAGATAATTAAAAAGAAAAAAGACAACTCAAAAAATGTTCTCAAGGTCAAGATGCAGTGAGAAGAAAGAGAGGGAGAGCTTATCTTGATTTTACTGTGAGGTTGTTGTCACTCATTTAAGGATTAAATCAACACCAATCAGTTTTTACTAAATGTGTCAATACCCTGTTAAAAAAAAAAAAACAAATTCTAGATTTCAAATCATAAGATAGTACAAAATTAAAAAAGTTCATTAGCCAAATCAGTTGATTTGGAAGAAAGGAGACGTGAAGAGTTCTTATTTTCATCAGTTTCACTGGAAATTACAAAGACGGTGATGCATCACATATAACAGAAATGTAAGCTGTCATTCTGTCATTCTCATTGTTATTGTGATAAATTAAAGAAAGGATGCATGCTCTACTTGACCGAAATTAACCGGCTTCGTTTGAGACGGCTTTCATAAAGTTTCTTAAAACAGCTTTTTAGTATAAATATTTCAAAAAACTGCTTTAAGAAGCAACAAAAAAGTCATCCCAAATGAAGCCTAAGTTTGACGAGTTGAAAATAGTGGCTCATTTCAATGCCATAAAAGAACTAAATAGAGATTATCATAAAAACTTAAATGAAGGCCGTCACAAAAGTTTATAATATAGATTATAAAAGTCTTCAATTGTAAATGATCATTAATATTTGTGAAAACTCTTGCTTCGGAGAAGAGAGAGTTGAGCGGCCGAGACAGAAGAGCAGATGAGATCAGAGAAAAGGAAAATAGGTGAAGTATATTTTCATATCTTGATTACAGCCTATGGGTTCTATATATAGACTAGGTACAATAAATGAAAGGCAATAAAGTACAAATTGCTGACAGGGCAAGTTCTTTGAACCGGTGAACTATGATTGGTTCTTAACAATCTCCCTAAATTAACCATTCTTGGAGTGAATGGTTAATTTGGATCTTAAGAGCTGAAACCGGTTGATAGGAAGAGCTTTGGTGAGTATGTCCGCGAGCTGATCGTTGGTGCAGACATGATCTACCCAGATGTTGCCTTGTCGAATGTGGTCACTGATGAAGTGGTAGTCAATTTCTATGTGTTTGGTTCTAGCATGAAAGATGGGGTTATTGGCGAGAGCTATGGTAGATGTGTTGTCACAATGGATTGGTGTGGGCGAGGTGGTGGGGACGTCAAGGTCTGTAGGCAGGCGACGGATCCATAGTATGTTGGAGGTGGCAGCTGCTAAGGATCTGTACTCTGCCTTCGTCGAGGAATGCGCCACGGTTGTTTGTTTCTTGACCGACCATGAAATCAGATTGGGACCGAGGAACGTGCAGTAGCCCGACATTGATTTCCGGTCGGTCGAGTTAGCTGCCCAATCCGCATCAGTGTAGCTGCTAAGGTTGAGGGCGCCGGTGATGAGCGGAAGACCGTAGTCTATTGACCCTTTGACATAGCGGAGGAGACGTTTGAGGGCTTGGTAGTCACAGTTTCTTGGATTGTGCATGTGTTGATATATTGAGTTGGTGGCGAATGCGATGTCGGGTCTAATGATAGACAAGTATTCGAGTGACCCTGCTATCTTGCGAAATAGCTGTGGGTCGGCGAAGGATCTTTCGTCTGAGGATCTCTGATCTTTTGTTGGCGCCGGAGACGGTGCGGGCTTGCAGTCGGACATGCCTGCATTATGAAGAAGATCATGTGCGTAGTGGGATTGAGTGAGAAAGTAGCAAGAGGTAGTTTTAATAACCTGAATACCGAGGTAGAGAGATATGTCGCCGAGCTGCTTTAGACTGAATGCTGAGTTCAGGCTTTGCAGAATTTGCTGGATTTTGACTTGATTGTTGCTAGTAACGAGGATATCATCCACATATATCAGGATGAAGATGCTAGTGTCGTCTTGCTTGAGATGAAGAAGAGACGGATCGGCTTTACTGAACGTGAAGCCGAGGTTGAGAAGAAAACTGGTTAGTTTTTGAAACCATTGACGGGGTGATTGCATTAACCCGTAGATGGATTTTCGGAGCTTGCATACGTGTGTCGGATGTTGAGCATCCTCGAATCCGCGTGGTTGCTTCATGTAAACTTCGTCTTGTAGTTCGCTATGAAGGAACGCGTTCGATACGTCAAGTTGGATGATCTGCCAGTTGCGGTTTAGGGCCACTGTGATGAGCATTCGGATGGTGACCATTTTGGCCATCGGGCTGAATGTCTCCGTGAAGTTGATGCCGAATTCTTGAGCATAGCCTTGTGCAACGAGGCGCGCCTTGTACCGATCAACTTGGCCATTCGGACGAAGCTTAGTCTTGAACGTCCATTTGCTGCCTAGGACGTGTCAACTGGAACTGGGACTAGTGACCAAGTTCCTTGTCTGTGCAAGGCCAGGTATTCTGTGGACATGGCTGAACGCCATTCGACATGCTTGGATGCCTCGACATAGGATGTGGGCGTGTAATCCTTGGTGGAAGTGGCCGACAGGTCGAAAATCTGATTTGGTTTGGATATGCTGAAGCGCAGACGGGTTAGCATTGGGTGTCGGGGTTGCTGATTGTTGGCCACTTGGCGGGGCGGCCTGTTCCGTGATGTGTTCGGGAGAGGTGCTGCATTCATGCTGTGTGATGTCCACGGACGGAGCAGGACTTGAGGACGTATTTGATAGCACTGTGGAAGATGGAACCAGCAGTAGCGGGGAGAGATATTCTAGGTTTATTGATGCAGGCATAGAGACGGTAGACTGAGGGAGCTTGTAGGGAAAGTGTTGTTCGTAGAATACTACGTGCCAAGATATGTAGAATCGATCTTGTTGGCGGTTGTAGCATCGATATCCTTTGTGCTGTGTGGAGTAGCCCAAAAACACGCATTCTTGAGATTGTTGCGATAGTTTGGTTGGGGCATACGGCTTGGTCCAGGGAAAACACAAGCACCCGAAGGTGCGTAGATGTGAGTATGATGCTTGGCTGCCATGTAACCGGAAGTATGGAGTATGATTTTGAATAACCGATGACGGTAGATGATTTATGAGGTAAATCGCTGTAGACGTGGCTTCCGCCCAAAACGAGAGTGAGAGGTGGGCAGTGTGGAGTAGGGTCCTTGTGACTTTGAGGATGTGACGGTGTTTCAGTTCGGCGGTGCCATTTTGTTTCGGAGTATGAGGACAACTCGTTTGATGTGTGATCCCTTGTTGAGCCAAGTAATTTCGGAAAGCTCTGCTCGTGAATTCTCCTCCACCGTCGGAGTGGAAGTTCTGAATTCGAGCACCAAATATATTATTGATCAGATTGCAATATTGTTGAAATTTACTAAGCACTTCGTCTTTGGAATTAAGCAAGTATAACCATGTAAATCTAGTACAATCGTCTATAAACGTAACTTAGTAGCGGTAACCGTATTTGGAAGAAATTGGAGCCGGGCCCCAAATGTTCGAGTGGACGATTTGAAACGGCTAATTACAAATGGAATTTCTAAGAGGGAATGGCTGTTTATGACTTTTAAAAGTGTTACAAGCAATGCATAGAGTGTTGGAGGACGAATTTGCTAGTTCTGGAACGTTTTTTGCGAGAGTGCTAATCTTGTGGTTGTGTGGGTGTCCGAGACGGTCGTGCCAGAGGTTCTTGTTTGACGGAGGTGTTGCCAGAGCCACGTCGTTACCCTTGGTAGGATGCTTGATGTGGTACAGACCATTATGTTTGGGACCCCGGAGAAGCACCTGATTGTCCTGAAGGTTCTTTATAACAAATTCATTAGCCGTGAAAGAAATCAAAACATTATTATCAGAGGTAAGACTAGAAACGGATAGGAGATTGTGTGTTAGACGCGGGACATGAAAGATTCTGCGTAGGTAGAGCTTACGAGTAGTCTCGGGTAGGGGCAGGATACCTTGGCCCGAGTTTTGGATGGAGAGGTTGCTACCGTTTGCAATGGAGACCGAGTCGTAGCCGTTGTATGGAACATGATGTTGGAGGTGCGTTGCGTCCGCGGTCAGGTGGGAGGAGGCACCGGAGTCCAAGATCCAGCCGTTCGTTGTGACTTGTTGTTGTTGTACCATGAGAGTTCTTGGATTTGTCGGCGGGGCATAGTTGAGATTGCATCTATGCCAGCAGTTTAGAGCGGCGTGGCCGGACTTGCCGCAGATCTGACAAGTGGGGTGCTGGGACGGAGGGCTTGCAGACGATTGCGCGTCGACTTGAGGCATCGAGCGATCATTAGTCTGTTGCCTTTGAAACGGTCCTCTCCCGCGTGGCTTTTTCCCACAGTAATAGCGATTTGAGAAGAACGTCGTGGAGTCAGAATTTTGGGAGTCTTTGAGGTTTTGTTGCTGAAGGATTATCTCTTCACTACTGAGGAGTGAATAGAGATCATCAAGATGTATAGGTTGGAGCGAGGTCCTTATGGCTGTTTTGAACGAATTGTATGCAGTGGGCAGCCCATTTAGAATGTAGAGTACAATATCTTCCGTGTCGACGGTGGAGCCGGCGGCCGCGATGTTGTCGACGATCGTCTTGATTTGATCAAGATATTGTTGCATGGTGCGGTCTCGCATCTGAATTTGATGTAGCTCATTCTTGAGCTGAATTACGCGAGAGCGATTTGTAGGTTGAAGACGACGTTCGAGAGCGGTCCAGACATCGTGGGCGGAGCCAAGATTGATCACGTACGGGAGTATGGAGGGAGATGGTGGCCAGCAGAGCAGAGAAAAGATTCCGATCTATAAGCTTCCACCGATTTTGTTCTTGAGTGGCTGAATCCGGTGGGCAGACGGCGAGACCAGTGAGATGCGCTTCATAGCCATTAGTGGAGAAATGCTGATGAAGTTGCAAATGCCATATTGAGTAGTTTTTAGCGGTGAGAGGGTTGGGAACCATGTTCTTGACATTGGATATCAAGAATTTGAGATGAGGAGGGATGAGAAGGTCAGAATCTTGATTGGAAATGGTGGACGAGATTCTGCCCTCCGCTCCGGTCCGGCGAGATCCGGCTGTGTCTTCTTCTTCCATGATGGATTAGAGACGAGAAACAAAAACAAGAGCTGTTGAGCTTTGCAGCTCTGATACCATGTGAAAACGAAGAGAGAGGTGAGAGGCCGAGACAGAAGAGCAGATGAGATTAGAGAAAAGGAAAATAGGTGAAGTATATTTTCATATCTTTATTACAGCCTATGGGTTCTATATATAGACTAGGTACAGTAAATGAAAGGCAAGAAAGTACAAATTGTTGACAGGGCAAGTTCTTTGAATCGGTGAACTATGATTGGTTCTTAACAATATTAAGAGATGGAATTGTTCTTACTTAAACTCATATAATCCTCACGTGTAAATCACCCCACAAGTAACTCCTCAGGTTTGTTATAAATTCTGAATATGTGTGAGAATTTTGAGAAAAGTGTTGTGTATTATATTCTTTTTCCAAGTTTGTAGTGAGTTTGTTGCATCCGGTGGATTCAAGCACATTCTCAAATCACGTTAAACTCATGTTATTGTGTGCAAGTTGTTTTTCGCCTTCTTGAATTTTGGAGCATATGCTCAATAAAATTAGTATTTTGGATATGTTAGCTCTTTTGTCCCTAATCAAAGTAGTCTCAAACAGCTTTTGTTCACACAAGGATGTTGCACTTGTCACCTGAAATCCAACAAGCAAAGCAATGTATCAAACAGACGACCAACACACTGCTAAGAGATGGTCAAAATCTGACCAAAAGCTTTCTGCAACTCAGTGAACAAGAAAGCCATAAAACTAGTTCGCAGGTGGACTAAGGGTTCATTTGGGACAACTTTCTTAATGCTTTCTAGAATAGTATTTTAGTTAAAAAATTTCTTGAATAATAAAATTAAAAAGTTGTTTTAAAAAGCAATGAAAAAGTTGTCCCAAACGAAGCTTAAATCTTGTTCACAACTCGTTAAGACAGCTTATCTAATTTGAGCTAAACAGCAACTCGACCTAGTCTGCCATGCCAATTTCCTAATGGTTGACAAAGTGCCAAACTAATAAGGTGAGCATACCAAGCAGTTCGCAATTGATAATGAAGTATTCGCAAGAGGTTTTGTTTAGAGAACTATGGTATTCAATGTAAAGTTTGAGATGGATAACTCTAATGGCACAAATAACTTTGGCACATGACAATACAAAGTCATGGATCCCTTTTTTTCAAGAAGGATTGAATATTGCTTCGGTGTCCAAGCTCAAGCATAAGTTGAATGAATATTTGAACTTTGTGAACAGTCAATCTTGTGGGACAATCCAACAAAGCTTAGGAAAGGACCAAAAGTACTTGTTTTTAAAAAGATACTTTCCAACAAGACTCTAAAAGAAATTAGAGGACAAGTACATGGCAAAAAGCATAGAAAACTTACTCAACCTGAGGAAGAAGACCTTTCATTTTCATTACAAAAAAGTTTCACCTATGATTAGGCACAGTTCAACTTTTTTTTTTCTCTCTAATTTAAAGAGTCATGGTGTTAAAATTAATGAAGAAGATATGATGTTATTGTTATTAAATTCTCTACATGAAATTTATGGTCATTTTATAATATGAAAAAAATTACGTTAAATTTAATGATGCTTCTAATTTTTCAATGAATAATTAGTATCCAAGGAATGATCAATTTAATCATAAAAATATTAAATCTAAAACACAGAGGTAGGAGAAATGATCGAAAATGTATCAAATCGAATAGATGAGATAAATCTCATTTAAAGTTATGTGAGAGTAGATTATGCCTTTTATCACTAGAAAGGGCACTCGAAGAAGGATGGTCCAAATAAGGGTAATTTAAATATGAAATGCTAATGAAGAAGAGAAAAAAATATATTTTCATATTCATTTTCAAACATCCCATATGTTGGATGGATTTTGGACTTGGATGTACCTATCACATGTATATAAATCAACATTAGTTCTCAAGTTCTGAAGAGCATGAGGAAGGAGTTGTGATGATAGGAAATGATAATGTTTGCCAAACAAAAGGTTTGGGTATAATATGCCTAAATATGTAAGGTGGTATAATTAGATGACTTTAAGAACTTAGAAAAACTTGTGCTAAACAAGAAATGATAATGTCAGCCAAACAAATGGTGTGGGGATAATACGCCTAAAGATGCTCTATGGTATGATTAGCCAAGTTAAAAACTTTGACAAAATTCTTGATCTGAATAACCTGATCTCACTAGGGTTTCTAATTATAAAGTGACCATGAAAAGTGAAGT